GTGGGGGAGTGAGGGGAGGGGCTGTGGGGGAGTGAGGGGAGGGGCTGTGGGGCATTGAGGGGAGGGGCTGTGGGGGAGTGAGGGGAGGGGCTGTGGGGGAGTGAGGGGAGGGGCTGTGGGGGGGAGTGAGGGGAGGGGCTGTGGGGGGGAGTGAGGGGAGGGGCTGTGGGGGATTCAGGGGAGGGGCTGTGGGGGATTCAGGGGAGGGGCTGTGGGGGGGTGAGGGGAGGGGCTGTGGGGGAGTAAGGGGAGGGGCCGTGGGGGAGTGAGGGGAGGGGCTGTGGGGGAGTGAGGGGAGGGGCTGTGGGGGAGTGGGGGAGTGAGGGGAGGGGCTGTGGGGGAGTGAGGGGAGGGGCTGTGGGGGAGTGGGGGAGTGAGGGGAGGGGCTGTGGCGGGGTGAGGGGGGGGGCTGTGGTGTAGTGAACATCGCTAGCACTGGCGGAGAGACAAAGACGGCCGGGCGTGGTGCTGGCCACCCACCCCCTCTGTGTAGCCACAGTGCCGGTAGCCTTCATAGGTGCAGCACTTGCCCCTGCTAGAGGCTACCTGGGGGAGCTTTGTGTGTCTAACACCCTCACCACCACCACCACCACCCTCACCACCACCACCAACACCACCAACACCACCACCACCACCACCAACACCACCACCACCCCCACCACCACCAACACCACCACCACCACCCCCACCACCACCACCACCGACACCACCACCACCACCACCACAACCACCACCACCACCAACACCACCACCACCACCCCCACCACCACCACCACCAACACCACCCCCACCACCACCACCACCAACACCACCACCGACACCACCACCGACACCACCACCACCCTCACCACCACCACCCCCCACCACCACCACCACCAACACCACCACCACCACCCCCACCACCACCATCACCATCACCACCACCACCACCATCACCCCCACCACCAACACCACCACCACCACCACCCTCACCACCACCACCACCACCACCAACACCACCACCACCACCAACACCACCATCACCACCACCACCACCCCCACCACCACCACCACCACCACCACCACCCCCACCACCAACACCACCACCACCACCACCCTCACCACCACCACCACCACCACCACCACCACCACCACCAACACCACCATCACCACCACCACCACCCCCACCACCACCACCACCACCAACACCACCACCACCACCACGACCACCACCACCACCACCACCCCCACCATCACCACCACCACCACCACCCCCACCATCACCACCACCACGACCACCACCACCACCACCACCCCCACCATCACCACCACCACCACCACCACCACCACCACCACCACCCCCACCCCCACCACCACCACCACCTCCACCACCATCACCACCACCACCACCACCACCACCAACACCACCACCACCACCATCACCACCCCCACCATCACCACCACCACGACCACCACCACCACCACCACCCCCACCATCACCACCACCACCACCACCCCCACCATCACCACCACCACCACCACCACCACCACCACCACCCCCACCATCACCACCACCACCACCACCCCCACCACCATCACCACCACCACCACCACCATCACCACCACCACCACCACCATCACCACCACCACCACCACCATCACCACCACCACCACCACCCCCACCACCACCACCACCTCCACCACCACCACGACCACCACCACCACCATCACCACCAGCACCACCCCCACCACCACCACCACCAACACCACCCCCACCACCATCACCACCACCACCACCACCATCACCACCACCACCCCCACCATCACCACCACCACCACCACCACCACCACCACCACCCCCCACCATCACCACCACCATCACCACCACCTCCACCACCACCATCACCACCACCACCACCACCAACACCACCACCAACACCACCATCACCACCACCAACACCAACACCACCCCCACCATCACCACCACCACCACCACCCCCACCATCACCACCACCACGACCACCACCACCACCACCCCCACCATCACCACCACCCCCACCATCACCACCACCACCATCACCACCCCCACCACCACCACCAACACCACCACCAACACCACCACCAACACCACCACGACCACCACCACCACCATCACCACCACCACCACCATCACCACCACCACCATCACCACCACCACCACCTCCCACACCACCACCATCACCATCACCACCACCACCACCATCACCACCACCACCATCACCACCACCACCACCTCCCACACCACCACCACCACCACCATCACCACCACCACCACCTCCCACACCACCACCATCACCATCACCACCACCACCACCTCCCACACCACCACCACCATCACCACCACCACCACCTCCCACACCACCACCACCACCACCATCACCACCACCACCATCACCACCACCACCACCTCCCACACCACCACCACCACCACCTCCCACACCACCACCACCACCACCCCCACCGCCCGATTCTAATTTAGTCTCAGTGGCATTTGGAACGGAGTCGTTTTGTAGTGGAGAGTTAAATAACTCTCCACTACACTCACCCATTATATCACTCACACTCTCTCTTAACTCTCTCTTAACTCTCTCTTAACTCTCTCTTAACTCTCTCTTAATTCTCTCTTACACTCTCCACTACACTCACCCATTATATCACTCACACTCTCTCTTAACTCTCTCTTAACTCTCTCTTAACTCTCTCTTAACTCTCTCTTAACTCTCTCTTAACTCTCTCTTAACTCTCTCTTAACTCTCTCTTAACTCTCTCTTAACTCTCTCTTAACTCTCTCTTAACTCTCTCTTAACTCTCTCTTAATTCTCTCTTACACTCTCCACTACACTCACCCATTATATCACTCACACTCTCTCTTAACTCTCTCTTAACTCTCCCTTTACTCTCCCTTTACTCTCTCTTAACTCTCTCTTAACTCTCCCTTAACTCTCTCTTAACTCTCTCTTAACTCTCTCTTAACTCTCTCTTAACTCTCTCTTAACTCTCCCTTTACTCTCTCTTAACTCTCTCTTAACTCTCCCTTAACTCTCTCTTAACTCTCTCTTAACTCTCTCTTAACTCTCCCTTTACTCTCCCTTTACTCTCCCTTAACTCTCTCTTAACTCTCTCTTAACTCTCTCTTAACTCTCCCTTTACTCTCCCTTTACTCTCTCTTAACTCTCTCTTAACTCTCTCTAAACTCTCTCTTAACTCTCTCTTAACTCTCTCTAAACTCTCTCTTAACTCTCTCTTAACTCTCTCTTAATTCTCTCTTACACTCTCCACTACACTCACCCATTATATCACTCACACTCTCTCTTAACTCTCTCTTAACTCTCTCTTAACTCTCTCTTAACTCTCTCTTAACTCTCTCTTAACTCTCTCTTAACTCTCCCTTAACTCTCTCTTAACTCTCTCTTAACTCTCTCTTAACTCTCTCTTGACTCTCCTTAACTCTCCCTTAACTCTCTCTTAACTCTCTCTTAACTCTCTCTTAACTCTCTCTTAACTCCCCTTTAACTCTCTCTTAACTCCCCTTTAACTCTCTCTTAACTCTCTCTTAACTCTCCCTTAACTCTCTCACTCACCCATTATATCACTCACACTCTCCCTTAACTCTCTCTTAACTCTCTCTTAACTCTCCCTTTACTCTCCTTAACTCTCCCTTACACTCACCCATTATATCACTTACACTCTCTCTTAACTCTCCATTAACTCTCTCTTAACTCTCTTAACTCTCTCTTAACTCTCTTAACTCTCTCTTAACTCTCCATTAACTCTCCCTTAACTCTCTCTTAACTCTCTCTTAACTCTCTCTTAACTCTCCCTTTACTCTCTCTTAACTCTCTCTTAACTCTCTCTTAACTCTCTCTTAACTCTCCCTTACACTCTCTCTTAACTCTCCCTTTACTCTCTCTTAACTCTCTCTTAACTCTCTCTTAACTTTCTCTTAACTCTCCCTTAACTCTCCCTTAACTCTCTCTTAACTCTCTCTTAACTCTCTTAACTCTCCCTTAACTCTCCTTAACTCTCTCTTAACTCTCCCTTAACTCTCCCTTAACTCTCTCTTAACTCTCCTAAACTCTCTCTTAACTCTCTCTTAACTCTCTTAACTCTCCCTTAACTCTCCTTAACTCTCTCTTAACTCTCCCTTAACTCTCTTTTAACTCTCTCTTAACTCTCCTAAACTCTCTCTTAACTCTCCCTTTACTCTCCCACTCACTGTCCACGTGTCTCTCCCCCACTCTCCCCCACTCTCTCTCTCCCCCACTCTCTCTCCCTCTCTCTCCCTCTCTCTCCCCCACTCTCTCCCCCACTCTCCCCCACTCTCTCCCTCTCTCTCCCCCACTCTCTCTCCCTCTCTCTCCCTCTCTCTCCCACTCTCCCCCACTCTCTCTCCCACTCTCCCCCACTCTCTCTCCCACTCTCTCCCTGTCTCTCCCCCACTCTCCCCCCACTCTCTCTCCCACTCTCCCCCACTCTCTCCCCCACTCTCCCTCTCTCTCCCACTCTCTCCCACTCTCTCTCCCACTCTCTCCCTGTCTCTCCCCCACTCTCCCCCACTCTCTCTCCCCACTCTCCCCCCACTCTCCCCCACTCTCTCTCCCACTCACCCCACTCTCTCCCCTACTCTCCCCCACTCTCTCTCCCACTCTCCCCCACTCTCTCTCCCTCTCTCTCCCTCTCTCTCCCCCACTCTCTCTCCCTCTCTCTCTACCACTCTCCCCCACTCTCTCTCCCCCACTGTCTCTCCCACTCTCCCCCACTCTCTCTCTCCCTCTCTCTCCGTCTCTCTCCCGTCTCTCTCCCCCACTCTCTCTCTCCCTCTCTCTTCCCCACTCTCTCTCTCTCCCACTCTCCCCCACTCTCTCCCTCCCACTCTCTCTACCACTCTCCCCCACTCTCTCCCTCTCTCTCCCCCACTCTCTCCCCCACTCTCTCTCCCTCTCTCTCTCCCACTCTCTCTCCCCCACTCTCTCCCCCACTCTCTCTCCCTCTCTCTCTCCCACTCTCCCCCACTCTCTCTCCCACTCTCTCTCCCTCTCTCTCTCCCTCTCTCTCGCTCTCTCTCTCGCCACGCGCGCCTCCGCGATCCGATCAGCCTCACGTGAAATTCAACCTAAGCGGTGAGTGGGTGGTGAGTGAGTGAGTGGTGAGTGGGTGGGTGAGTGAGTGGATGGGTGAGTGAGTGAGTGGGTGAGTGGGTGGGTGAGTGAGTGAGTGGGTGAGTGAGTGAGTGGTGAGTGGGTGGGTGAGTGAGTGGATGGGTGAGTGAGTGAGTGGGTGAGTGGGTGGGTGAGTGAGTGGGTGAGTGAGTGAGTGGTGAGTGGGTGGGTGAGTGAGTGGGTGGGTGGTGAGTGAGTGAGTGAGTGGTGAGTGGGTGGGTGAGTGAGTGAGTGAGTGGGTGGGTGGGTGAGTGGGTGGGTGAGTGAGTGGGTGGGTGAGTGGGTGGGTGGGTGGGTGAGTGAGTGGGTGAGTGGGTGGGTGGGTGAGTGAGTGAGTGGGTGGGTGAGTGAGTGGGTGAGTGGGTGGGTGAGTGAGTGAGTGGTGAGTGGGTGGGTGAGTGAGTGGGTGAGTGGGTGGGCGAGTGAGGGAGTGGGTGGGTGGGTGAGTGAGTGGGTGGGTGAGTGGTGAGTGGGTGGTGAGTGAGTGAGTGGTGAGTGAGTGGTGAGTGGGTGGGTGGGTGAGTGGGTGGGTGGGTGAGTGAGTGGTGAGTGGGTGAGTGAGTGAGTGGGTGAGTGGTGAGTGGGTGGGTGGGTGAGTGGGTGGGTGAGTGAGTGAGTGGGTGGGTGGGTGAGTGAGTGAGTGAGTGGTGAGTGGGTGGGTGGGTGATTGAGTGGGTGAGTGAGTGGGTGGGTGAGTGAGTGAGTAAGTGAGTGGGTGAGTGAGTGGGTGGGTGGGTGAGTGAGTGAGTGGGCGAGTGAGTGAGTGAGTGGGTGAGTGAGTGGGTGGGTGGGTGAGTGAGTGGGTGGGTGAGTGAGTGAGTGGGTGGGTGGGTGAGTGGGTGGGTGAGTGAGTGGGTGGGTGAGTGGGTGGGTGGGTGGGTGAGTGAGTGGGTGAGTGGGTGGGTGGGTGAGTGAGTGAGTGGTGAGTGGGTGGGTGAGTGAGTGGGTGAGTGGGTGGGTGAGTGAGTGAGTGGTGAGTGGGTGGGTGAGTGAGTGGGTGAGTGGGTGGGCGAGTGAGGGAGTGGGTGGGTGGGTGAGTGAGTGGGTGGGGTGAGTGGTGAGTGGGTGAGTGAGTGAGTGGTGAGTGAGTGGTGAGTGGGTGGGTGGGTGAGTGGGTGGGTGGGTGAGTGAGTGGTGAGTGGGTGAGTGAGTGAGTGGGTGAGTGGTGAGTGGGTGGGTGGGTGAGTGGGTGGGTGAGTGAGTGAGTGACTGGTGAGTGGGTGGGTGGGTGAGTGAGTGGCTGAGTGAGTGGTGAGTGGGTGGGTTGGTGAGAGTGAGTGACTGGTGAGTGAGTGGGTGGGTGAGTGAGTGAGTAAGTGAGTGGGTGAGTGAGTGGGTGGGTGGGTGAGTGAGTGAGTGGGCGAGTGAGTGAGTGAGTGGGTGAGTGAGTGGGTGGGTGGGTGAGTGAGTGGGCGAGTGGGTGGGTGGGTGGGTGAGTGAGTGAGTGGGTGCGCGAGTGAGTGAGTGAGTGGGTGAGCGAGTGGGTGGGTGGGTGAGTGAGTGGGTGAGTGAGTGGGTGGGTGGGTGAGTGAGTGGGTGGGTGAGTGAGCGGTGAGTGGGTGAGTGAGTGAGTGAGTGGGTGAGTGGGTGGGTGAGTGGGTGGGTGGGTGAGTGAGTGAGTGGGTGAGTGAGTGGGTGGGTGGGTGAGTGAGTTAGTGAGTGGGTGGGCGAGTGAGTGAGTGGGTGGTGAGTGAGTGAGTGGTGAGTGGGTGAGTGACTGAGTGAGTGATGAGTGGGTGAGTGAGTGAGTGGGTGGTGAGTGAGTGAGTGGTGAGTGGGTGAGTGAGTGGGTGAGTGAGTGGGTGGGTGGCTGAGTGAGTGAGTGGGTGAATGAGTGGGTGGGTGAATGGGTGGTGAGTGAGTGAGTGGTGAGTGGGTGAGTGACTGAGTGAGTGAGTGGGTGAGTGAGTGGGTGGGTGGGTGAGTGAGTGGGCGAGTGGGTGGGTGGGTGGGTGAGTGAGTGAGTGGGTGGGCGAGTGAGTGAGTGAGTGGGTGAGTGAGTGAGTGGGTGAATGAGTGGCTGGGTGAGTGGGTGGTGACTGAGTGAGTGGTGAGTGGGTGAGTGAGTGAGTGGGTGGTGAGTGAGTGAGTGGTGAGTGGGTGAGTGAGTGGGTGAGTGAGTGGGTGGGTGGCTGAGTGAGTGGGTGAGTGAGTGGGTGAGTGAGTGAGTGAGTGGGTGAGTGAGTGGGTGAGTGAGTGGGTGGGTGGGTGGGTGAATGAGTGGGTGGGTGAGTGGGTGAGTGAGTGAGTGGGTGAGTGAGTGGGTGGTGAGTGGGTGAGTGAGTGAGTGAGTGGGTGAGTGAGTGGGTGAGTGAGTGAGTGA